TTCGTAAAGTAAGGTTGAGTGAGCACCAAAGAATTAACTTTCTCAGGTCTAGCGAAGGGTTAGTTTAGTTGAGTTTGTGACCTTAGGATAGGGTGAAATAAACTCTGCTGAGTTGTGCAGATAACATACTTTCAAATATATGATATACTGTTAAATAAGGAGAGGTTATGGGGTGGCGCTTGGGGTAAACAACTTCATGGGCAATAAAAGAGAAACTTAACCTCCAGCCTTTCTGCAGTCCCTTTCTTGGTCAGTTATACGTCCTCCTTTACCACAACGCCGCTCCATTTTTATCTTGATTATTTAAGGACACAGGCCATGTAAGGACCTTTTTCTAGGAGCCGTTACCTTTGAAAGCATAGAGAGATCATGTAAATTAGTTACAGATTTACAGTAACTTACTGTAATGATGTCTTACAGAACCAAACCTTTATGCATTCTAATAAATGATAAATGGCACCAGCTAATCCAGTGGCCCATATTAATGTAATGCTGTAATCACAAATAAGCATACACGTATCTTGGGTGACTCTGTGGTGTGTCTGTGCATGCACAATATATCTGTGCAAGGAGCTTCAAACACTATAGCTCTCAGTATCACTACAAAATAGTGTAGAGAACTTTTACATATGGGATTAATGTCAAATAATTCTTGACTAGAAGTGTGTGCTGTTAGCAGATGTTCCGACAGCACTTCAAGATCTGTGGGTATGATTACATTTACAGTGGAGGTTTAGGAAAAAAATCATATAAAGGTAAGAGGAATTCTCTTAAGTGCAACTAATTAATGTTTGATTAATGATAATACGTGCATGCTGCTCTATTAATAAATGCTAGTATATAGACTGTTGCCTAACATTAACAGCATCTTGCAGTGATAATTACAGATGAATCATGAACTTAAATCCTGGCTGTCTCAGAGTCTGGTCAGTCCATTTTCTGTCAGTCATAAATTTCAGGCTCATACTCATATATCAACTAACTCATTTGAATGGTCCTTCACTGTGTCATTCAGCAACTGTTGACTGTATGCATCAATCATGAAGGTAAGAAGCTTTAGCTAGAGTTGTAGTGAAAGATATTTTTCAGTTTTGAAAGAAAGTCAGTGGCAAGGTACCTAACGTTGGAACAATCTTCCTGTTTAACCTTTTATGCCAAAAACCTTGATGTAAGAGATGGTTGCCCTTTAGGACTCGGAAACAACACTCAGACTGCCTGTCATTACAAGCAGTTTGAATCTCAAGTGTTAAGTAGTTGTGAAATACTACTAATCTCAGGCCAAATGCTATAAACCAAGACTCAGTTGTACTCTAGGGACTTACTGAAACTCCTTGTTTTGCAAGTGTTTATTTAAATGAAGAACAGTGAACATATTTATTCAAACATATTGCAGTTTGCTGCAGTCAGTTTGTAAACAGAGGTAAAACCAAACAATTTCAGCCTTGTGTTTGCATGTTTGAAAAGATAACCATAGGCTTTAACTTGCAAAACAGAAGTTCAAATACCATCATATAATTGAAGACCCTCCTGCTTGCTGTGCGTTGATTTTCACTTCTACCAGTTTTTGAAAGGTTCCTTTAAATAAATACCCAACCTAAAACTGTACAAAAGGAAAAGTGCAGCTTCCTCAATTCACATGTGGATTTGCAGCTAGAAAAGACAATGAATGCAATTTTCATATAGGATCTGTAAATTATAGCTCCTGATGGAATCAGGTTAACTATCAGAGAGTTAAAAGCAGGTACTTTTTGGCATTCATGCTTAACTGATAATTTTATGGCAAGGAAGTTCGGCAAGTAGCAGATGAAGGAGAGATATTCTGCCTTCCTAAAGACAAGGGGGCTGTGGAGGGAAGGGTACCACACATATATACTTTGGACCTGATGCTGCTTTCACTCCATCTCAATCTCTCTGATGTGAGATCCAGCCTGCTTATAGACATGAAGAAAACAGAGCCTCATTTACTTTTTTGACAGGGTATTTTCCCTTTGGTTTTGTTTTCAAATACCAAGACAGCATCTTTCCTTCTGATAGAAAGGATGTTGTCCACATTGTATGGCTCAAGGAGACAGCATCAAAAACCAAAAAAGCCCTCAAATGGCTGTTCAGTGTTTCCATATTGACTCATTTCTTCACCGTGCTTTATCATACAGTTCCAGATGGAGGTGAAGTAAATCCATAATGTTAGATTCAAATCCAAAAACCAATATAACGCCACAATAGATGCATGAGATTTATCCCCCCCCCCCCCCCCAGTATGTATTTTGATGAGGGCAACATACCAGCCTTTGAGATGGCAGTCTGTGAACCTCCATGAAAGACATTTAGATTGACTGGCTCATCTAGACCTGTAAGAGTGAGGCACGATGTCATTTAAGCACAATGTCATTTAAGCACATGTGTTTCTATTTTGGAGTAAGATTGTTTTTACTTTTCCAGTTTAAGCTGGAAAAAATAAAACCAACTTTGGTAAAATCTTAAATTTGCAGTAGGTTTAAAAATAAAAATGAAAACCATCTGAATCCCACATCAGATGTTTGCAAAACCACTGTTGAGGAGCTTGTCTTTTGACTTCAAATACATGGAAAGATGTTTGATGTTCTATAGACTCATAAAAAAGACCATATTTCTTTTCTGCTATGTCTTGATGAGATCAAGAGCATCATTTGCAACCCTGTGAATGTGAGAAGAGCATCTAGTGGAAAGAAAAAAAAGGAAAGAACCAAGTCTTACAGTGCTTGCCCACTGTGAGCAACAGTAGGTGTGACAAAAGAGTGTCTTTTCACCCCATTGAATGAAGTATATTGTCATATACTCATTACAAAAAGCACCCACACTGGGGGAAATAATCTTGGTTTTCCTCGTGAACTCTGTCAGAAACATGGCAAATTTGAAGACTGATGAAGCAAGTTTCTTAATATACTTCCAGTCAGTCTCTTTAATGATCCCATTTCCTCCAAGTTTATAGAACAGTTGACTGGGGGGAAAAAACCCTAATTCACTAACAACTTTGTCATGAATTAGATGTCTGAATTGAGCTGGGGTTAAACAGCAAACTGATTTTCAGCTAACTGCTTCTTGTTTAGATGCTTCTGAGTGCAGGGCTGCAAATCTGCTTGCTCATACTGCTGTTTCCTAGGCTGGAGTGACTATTAAATTTTGTAATTAGTGGAATGTAATTATTTCCTGTAATGAGCTGTAAATTCACATGATGCCATAAATCATTCTTATGTACGCTTAAGGATTCATTACTCTTCTTAGCAACCGACTAGCATATTTACTAAGCACAGAAGTGTTCAACTGGAGTACTCTGTAGGTTACTGGGAAAGTATTAGATGTTCCCAGATGGAATCTCTTTGGTGGGGGGAAGTGGTTTGCAGTAGGAAAAGTGTGGTTCTACCACTGTGGTAAGAAATAAGACTTGAGAACATGATTCAGCAAGGTTTGCGTATCAGTTCCATTGGGATCATTTACTGTTCTCATTAAGGCTCTTAAACGCTGTCTTAAATCATCTTCTGAAATAAGAGTCAAGAGCTGTTATGGCAAAAGCAGATCTGTCAGCAAGGAGAGCCGCTTTCTCCACAGTGACAGATCACCAAAATAAAATCCACAACTCCAAGCACAGGGCACAGAGCACAAATATCCTCCTGCATCCTCCTTCCCACAGTTTGGCAGTGCAGCTTCATGGCCTCCCCGTATGCTGCCTCATCATACCTGCTAGAATCAGGCTTGCCCAACTGCCATGCAGTCATGCAGCAGCAGAGATGCCCAAGTATGTGTTCATGAAAGCCTCCCTATGGTTCCTGTGCCATATAGACACCTCACCTCCTGGGAGCTCCAGAGACAACCCTGCAAATTCCTTACCATCTATAATTGTGTGGTTTTGGAGAGGAAGAAAAAAACAAACTGAAAATGCTGGTAGTATCCTAAGTACAAACAAGGAGCTTATTGTATCACTTGGACACTACACTAATGTGGTCTTTAAGTTAGGTCTTCCTTGGAGATAATCTAGTCACCTTTTAGTAACTTAAAGGGAGCAGAATCTTACAGTACTGCCATCAAGAAAGGAGAATGCAGGAAAAGTGAATTGGTCCAATAATAATAATAATAATAATTTTTTTTGTTTGTATTTTGTGTTGTCAGACAATTGAGTTTCTTTCATATACTGACCTCATATAGCATGCACATACATGTGCCTGCACCATCCTAGTGTGTACATGAAGGGTAAACCAGACCTGAGATACTTGACTCCTTAGCAGAATAGGTTCAGGTATTGCGTATAGGTACTAAGCAGGCAAAAATCACGCTTTACAAGATGGAGGATTTCAGTAGAAAGTGTTCCTTGCATTTTTTCCTGTACTGCTTTTCTTGCAGCCTTTCCTCTTTCACAAATCATATCTTACCCTGCCTATGTCCCCTTCCTGTTCATAGTCAATGATGAAAGTAAAAGCTTAGGCAGTGGTGAAACAGGAGCAGCTTCATGTCTTTCTCAGACAACTTTGCAATCTGCACTGGGCAGACTGGCTGCGAGACCCAGGGAGAGACCAGCCAACACTCAAAGAAGGGTCAGAATCTCTTGTCCTTGTTGCTGGTTAGCAGGTTAGGCACTCCTCACCATTAACTCCCTCCTTTAGTGTGGTTCTGATCCAGCAGAACTGCCACAGACAGGAAACCTTACAATAATATTTACAAGAGACACATAAAATAGGCGACCCTCATTAAAAAAGGATAAGTCTAAAACAGGAAAAAGAAATCCCCTCCTGCACCCAGTCCATTTGCGGTTAGCATTAGCCAGATGTCTAAAATGTGCAGCCTGCAAAAATGTCCTAATGCCCTTCAAAACCAACACAGAGTATTACTGATTGCTTTAACTGGGGGGAGAAGAAAGAGCAAAAGGATAATTCAGTGGATAGGAGCAATGGACTAAATGCCAATAAAAGGAATCTGAGAAAAAGCTAAATAGATTTGCTGGAGAAGCAACCGCAGCACAGACCTTGAAGGTTTGTGGCCAGAATGATCAGCTATCTGCTTGTCTAACTCTGATCTTTTGCATGGGATTAACAAAGGTGACGGGCAGCATCTCTGGGGACCTGTCGCAATGAAAGATGGACGGTTCAAGACAGAGTCTTTGTTTATGCTGTGACTAAATCTCAGATTCTGTGTCTGTCTGTGAATTTACCGTGTCCCCACTGGGCATTGTCAGATCCCATCAGCCTTGTTCCCTTCCTTGCAGAAAGTTCTGTCCAAACGTGCACAAGTCTCTTCTCTCCCCCGAGGCTTCTCTGGGACAACTGAAAAACATAATATGGTTTTTTTCAGCCAAACACATGGTAAGCAAATCTGTGTCAGACCTAGACAAAAGCTATCCCAGTTAAACAGTCCCTGTGCATAATGCTTGTCTAATGTTCTGTACCTGGGACCCAAAAAGCGCACTTTGTTGGACTTCAGAGAAGGCTGTCGCAAAGTGCTGGACTCTTTAGTAGAAGGCAAACCCTGAAAGACTATTTGTTGTGCTTTTTTAAATGCTTGTTCTTTGCCAGTGGTTGGACAACAGTGCGTAGTTATTGAGTATGGAGCCAGAGAGTTTCATGCTTTTCGTGCATACGGAGTTGTGCATCAGCATGGTGATGAGTGGTGCACGTTAAAAGACATACACAGTGTTGTTCTGGCAACAGCGGCAAAGAGAAGCTGCTGTGAGGATTTTTCCAACCCTGCTTTGGGTCTGTTTGTGTGCTCCGCTACCTTCTTACAGCCATGGCTGTAACTGTATTAACAGGCCTGTTAGGGCGCAACAAGAGAAGCCTGTCACATTTGCAGTATGTTTTCTGACCAGTAGCAGGAAATTTTGCTTATTGTCTGCATGTGAAGGATGAATCTGTAACAGAGCCAGAAAGCTGTAAAAAAAATACCATTTTTATTTCCTTACATTTGCTGGCTTTCAAAACAGGCAAAGAAGGCATTAAATATAACAAAAATGAAAACTGCTTTTCAGAACCTGAATGTATAGTATCGCAGACTAAATATGAAAAGTGATTTTATGTATCACTTCTTCTCTCCACTTCATAACCCTGTAAAACACCACTGAAATATACAGTACTTCTGAGATTCTTATGTTCAATAAAAGGGTCAATAGGAAACTGTTACGGTAACAAAGTGTTTTCCCTTAATTGTGTATCTGCTTACCACGCAAAGCTTTCGCTAGGACCTCTGTTTCTATAAAATGTTTCATAGCAGATTATAAACTACCAATATACTTAATTTGTAGATGAATGACACCATGTTTCTTTTCTGTTCTTTGTTTTGCCTTGCTTTTCCAGATTATTTTATAGTTTTAACAACTTTGAAAAACTTAGCTGAATTTAATGAATTGATTATGATATGAACCTTGCTAGCTCTGGGCTGGTGTATCTTACAGTCCATCTCACATGTATGGCTATAACCCAACTCAGTGTCTTACTATTATCTAAGTAACAAGCCTTATAAGCTTATCCAAACAAGTAATGAAAAAACAAAACGTGCAATAAGACTACTGAAGAAAGGCTAACTCAGTGGCACTGACTCTTAAAAGACTGAGTTTAGAAAGGCACCTCTGCCCCTACTGCCAGTCATATGGCTATAAACAGTATTTTAAATCACAGCCTAGAGATTCAGGTTTCTTTTTAATGGAACTGTTCACTTCCTTTTGACTGCATTTACATTCTGATGTAATAAGTAGGGCTACGCAAAACAGGTGATTTTTATATTCGTAATTTATTAGTAATTGATTGTCCCAATTACATAGGAAAAAGCTTTGGGGTGACCAAATTTTAAACTCTTTTCAGACAGTCTTGAGTACATTTTGATACTAAAGATATTTTTAAAACGCCCACAATTATTCAGAGATTTTAGGGTGAATTTGTTCTCAAGATTCTTCTAAGAAATGTTGGGGTTTTTTTCCCAGTCAAGGAAAACTGGCTAATGGTGTCCCTCAGCAAGCACACGGCTCATGAAAAGTGTCTTTCTGTTTCTTCCTGTTTAGGAAATTCCTGTAAATTTTAATCCAGTATGTCCATTGCAATGAAGGGTTTTATTTGCACACACGGATATTCAGTGTGTGCATTAGCATCATTAGCTGTCATTAGTTGGCTGAGTGAACGGTCTTAGTCTGTAGGCTATGTATTTCACAGTGAATGAAAGGGAAATGCAGAGGAGAAAACTTTCTGTAGCAAAAGATGACACATTAGCACATTCCTAGAGCTCTATCTCAAATTCACAGCTAGTACAAGATAAAATGAATAGGATCAAAGGCAAGTCATAAATCAAGATTATGAAATGAAAGTATTCATACCCAAATGGAATCTTCTGTCAGCAAAGCCAGTGTTGATCACAGCGTTAAAATAGATGATGATAAATCAGAAACAAACAAAAATTACCAGTAGGAGGAAGTACCTAAGAAAGCAGCAAACACAGTCTCTAAGTTGATACTGAAACAACTTTCCCTGCATTCAATACAGGGGGAAAAGTGTGATTTAAACAGCGGAATTCTCCCAAAGCTCCTAATACAGGCTGATGATTTTAAACATTTATATTTGTCTAGATTGTGAGTAATGCTCTGACAAGTTTCGGGGTATTGTTCATTAGGCAAATAGTTAAGTTAGTAACTCCTCTCTGTAACAGATCTGTTATGTACTCTAACACATTTGTATGAAAAAGGATCAGAACAGAAGGAATGTGTTATGTGACATTCTCTTGGAATGGGGGAAAAAATCTGTTGCAAATGTTGAGTATATTACTGTTTAAAACCATTAGACGTTCAAATAATATATATATAATATATATTCTGTATTTCATTTTACTCAAAAGTGTAATGAATCACACACTGCTCCAGTCAGCCCTCTTTGGGCTTCTGAATAGAGCAGAGAGTTGCTGGGAACATGGACGATGTCTTCCTGGGATATTCTGCAAGTCCGTCTTAAAATGAGACGTATGATTGAATCAGACTGATTCACTCCCAGTAAAATCTAAGGAGAGACGTTCACTGATTTATTCATGTAACAGGTACCACCTTTATATAAACTAAAAGGAAGATCATAGATATTTAACCTAGATAATTATTCTGCAGCTGTTCATTGAACTGTTACAAGAAAAGTAAGTTCCCTACCTTTTAGAGAGATATAAAAAAGATTTGATTAATGAAGCATGAACATCTACTGGGAAAAATATTCCTGGTCACTATAGTAAATATATGGGGTTTTTCCCCCATATTTCTGCTTTATTTAAATATTTTCAATTCTAATAAACTGAAAAATGACCAAGCAGAAGGGATAAGTTACAGGAAGGATTTCCACTCTAACTTCAACAGCGGACTCTGTCCCCTTGGCATCTTAATAGCACGTTTTGATTCTTTTTATGAAGAGTAAGGATTTTCAATATTTAATTATTATAGACTACAATAAAATTCCAGGTTTCCTCCTTGGACATATTTTCTTTAGAGATGTAGGACAACCTTTTGGCTGCTATCAAGAGGAAGCAAGAAACTAATGAAACAAAGATCGCTCAGTAGAAACACAGTGCCTGATATTACCAAGTTGAATATCTAAACCATCTCAAAACCCATGATGACAGACTGATAGAGTGCCTAAGAGACCTTTGTTCAGATTCACATGAGCTGACTGGTTTAGAACGGCTGTTTGAACAGCGGGAGGTTCTGTGCGAGATGAGAATAAAAATGACTGGTCAGATAAACAAATGTTACAGCTGAGCTGTTGTCCCAGAGAAAGCGAGTACTGTAGCCATTAATGTGGATGTATCTAGACAATAGATTATTATACCTAGAAATACAAATCTGGCACCAAGCTTCCTTTAATAAGCAAATACACCCCTACCCCCCCCTCCCCCCCCGAATACAATACTAATGAATGTTTAAATGACTTTCAATATTAGTTTATCAGTGCTATGTAAATAAATGACTTGGAAAGCATTTCTGATGGGACATTTTGATATTTGCATATCCTTAAGCTTCGATATAAATCGGAGAAAGAAAAGTGTAAATATTATGTGCTTTGTCTAATAACCAAGTCTATTTTAATAATAATTGAGCCTGTGCCTGAAGATCAGAACAGAATTTCACGGGTGCTGGGGTATGCTTCATTTGTTTCACGTTATGAAGTGCAGGCATCCTGAGGGAAGAGAAAGATCTGGACTAAATTTATAACACAAGGAATGTAAAATGCCTTTTTGATGTGTTGAGATGGGCAAGTTCTTTAAGAACAGGAAGAAAAATAAACATAAATGTTAAAGGTTAAGAATAAGCAATCTCAAGCAGTCATTGACTTTCAGATGCAGGCCACCATTATCTTGATATTGCCGCCTCTCTCTGTTAGCTTGGGTGTGAGTCCTTTGCAGTTTTATTCATTGCTTCTCCCCATGCCCTTTGATTTTTATTTTGGTGTTTGATAGATGCTCCAGTTAAAAAAGGACTCTATATAAAATATGTCCTAAGACTGGAACACATTTATGGATGGGTGTGAAGGACCAGTTTGAGAGGAGAGACATTTTTCCAGTATGTCTTTTCCAAAGAAAAAAGGGAAAATGCTTAAGCAATAAACACAGATAAATTATATAGCCTTTCTGAGGTGATTTTGAACAAGGAGAAATCAAACCTTTTTACTGAGATGGAGCAAAAGTAATGTATCACCAGAGAGCAACTGGTGACAAGTCATTGATTTTAATAGCATAACAATGGTCAATTGAGAACGTGGCTGAAACTCTCCTGAAGTTCTGAAAATGAGCTGAGAAAGTTGTCCATCCGTGTTAACACAAGGATCTTTTATTATTGAGCAAGACATTCATTCTCTTATCATCAGTCTCTTTATAATCAAGAGCAAGAACAATACTTCACAAACACATCTGTTTCTGTTAAAGTTGCTGTTAGTATTGTGAAAGGGTCACATTTCTTCCAGACATGCCTGTTTACTATTTTGTGTCGTTTTCAAAGTTCTCCTGGAGTTATCCTTGCTTAATTTATTTCCTAGCATTGATCAGTTTCTTGTTTAAGATAGTTGTTCAGATGCATCTTCGACAATCGATAGGAATCAGTCAAATGAGCTTTTATGTAGTACTTCTGACCACTTTGTATTTTGTGCTTTTCTCAAGCTATGCAGGCTTAGATGTATCAGTTCAATTAAGTTTTCTGAAGGGCTCAGCATCTGCAGGGAAGGACAGATTTTCAGGAGAGGGTCATTCCCATTCAGACTACAAAATAAGTGACCTGACACTAAAATTGAGCTCATACTTGTGCTAAAAGATTTGC